ACAGGGAGAAGAAGGCTGATGTTCTCTGAGGCGCTCTCTGGCAGCCAGGCAGGGCCAGGCCTGGGTGCTCCTGGTGCTGCTGAGTGAGACCCATCCCTGGGGTGCTGTGCAAGGGAGCTGCAACACCTGCCCCAGGGGGGCTTTAGCAACCCTGAGCCTTGGGGAAATTCCCTCAAAACCCTACACTCCAATGTCACCCAAACCTGTTGGCTGGTGCTACCCAACAAGTTTTTGGCTGAACAAAGAATTTAAAAAAAACCCCAAACAACAAAAAAACCACCCCAAGCAACCAAAACCCCTGCCAGCCCACAAAGTGAGGTTGTTTCTTGGGGACACACAGCTCTGGGTACCTGCTGCTAGCAGGACTAACTCTGGGTCCAACACCTTGACAAAATACTTTAAAGTTTCCCCCCCTCGCAGCCAACTTCCCTCGGTTTGAGGCTATTTCTGCTTCTACCTTCCCCTGGTACCCAGAAATAATTCGGGGAGCTTAGGGGGCTTGCCGGAGTCCCACCCCAGGCACACACCAGAAACAACTCGGAGGGCTTGGGGCGGGGTTGTCAGGGTCCCACCCCAAGCACACCCTCAGTCAGAGCGAGCCGGCAGCTTCAGGCTTTGGGGAGCCCCGGGTAGGGGATGCGGCGCCTGGCTCCGGTGCCAGTCTCTAAACCCGAAGTCCCGTGGTTTTGGGCCAGGAGAGAGCGCCCAGGAGGGCACATAACAAGAGCCGCTCCCCCTGCGCAGACCTACCGCCCCTTCCAGCGGCTTCGCCCGCGCTGCCCGTCCCGTCCCATCCCATCCCATCCCATCCCACCGCCCTCCCCGGCCTCCACCGCTCCCCCTTACCCCTGTCCCGCTGTCGTCCCCCAACCGCCAAAGTTCACGACAGAGCAAGAAGGTTCTGGAAAAACAGCAGTGGAGGGGGAAAAAAAAAAAAAAAAAAAAAGAAAAAAGAAAAAAAGTGGGGGGTGGGGGAGAAGAAAGGGGAAAGAGAAGCCCTGAGGCTGCCGGGGTGCCCGTGCCGGCTCCGTGCGGTGTGCCCGGGCCGGGCCGTGCCCGCCGAGCCGCCGTGAGCCGCGGCCGCCCCGGCGCGGGGTTAAGTAGCGGCTCCGAGAGGCTTCGCGCGTTGCCGCGGCGACGGCCCCGCCCCGTAAACATCCTCCGGCCGCGCCATTGGCCCGCGCGTTGCCATGGGGACGGGGCGGGATTTTGGGGGGGTGGTACCCAGGGATGCTGCGGGACCCCCCAAGGCCCGGGACGAACCCAGCGGCGGCAGCCCCGGGGAGATGAGGAGGCTCCGGGGTGACCTTATTGCGGGTTTTCAGTACCTGGAGGGGAGCGACGAGGACATGGAGGGGGACTTTTTGCGAGGACAAGGGGGAATGGCTTCAAACTGAAAGGGAGTAGGTTTAGATTAGATAATAGTAAGAAATTCTCTACTGTGAGGGTGTTGGAACAGGTTGTCCAGAGAAGCTGTGGCTGCCCCATCCCTAAGGCCAGGTTGGATGGGGCTCGGAGCAACCTGGTCTAGTTGAAGGTGTCCCTGCCCACAGCAGGGGGGAGTTGGAAGGAGATGGTCTTTAAGGGAGTTGGAAGGAGATGGTCTTTAACGTCCTTCTAACCCAAACCATTCTGTGATTCTGTGAAAACCTGTGTCCTGTCTCACAGGGGCAACGCCAGCCCTTTTCCTCCTCCCTGTGCTTCCATCCTGCTTCTGGCTCCCAATGCACCCACAGCGATGAGGGCAAAGCTGAAGGAGGCCTGGTAGACCCCAAAAATAAAAGATGGAGTCTGCCTTTATTTAATTCAAAAAATTACAGCCATAGGCTTCTATAAGAAAACCCTGGCCACCCTCCTTGCCATCCCAAGGGCTTTAACAGAGACCAGGGAGAGACCCCTTTGCAGCATATGACCATCTGCAACCTGTCCCTGCAGCTTGTTTGGTCACAGGTTGGACTCGATGACCTCAGAGGTCTTTTCCAACCTGATTGATTCTGATTTTGATTCTGATTTAGCTGCATGTTGCTCCTCCCCACCATCATCAGCCCCCCTATTAAACTCAGATTATAACCCCTCTTACAGCTCTCCTCTTCTTCAAGACCAGCTCCCAGCACAAGTTTTCTTCCCCCGCACTGGAGGGATTTCTCTTGCATGAGCTCTCAGCTTCTTAGTGCTCCTCTTCTCCTCCAGAAGTTCCCTCTGGGTGTCCTCATCTGTCCCAGCAGTGCCAGCAGCCACCCACACCCCACACCAGGAAGGTGCCTCTACCCCCAGTCAGACTCTTCCTGCAGAGTTTTTTGCATTTGTCCTGTCTCCATACTGGGCTCAGAGGAGGCACAATTTAGGATGGGTTGGGAATGCAGGTTCAAAGGAACCTTGGGAAGTGTTTTAGGACATTTGAAGCAGCTGGGCTGGTATGGGGGAGGTGCCTGGGTGACATGTAGGTGGACACTTCGAGCCAAAAAGGGTTTCCACCCACCAAGCCCCGCAAACCCTGACTGCCCTCAGCCTGCAAAGCACAAAATGACTCCGGACACTTTGTCGACATAAGATACCCTTTATTAAACATACTCTTAAAACCCAAAACATGCTCAAAGCAAAGTCGTAAGCAGCAATCTGGTTTCCTTCCTTAAATCCCTGACTGGTGGATTGCTGGAACAAGGGGCTGCCCCGTGAGACAAGGGGCTGTTCCCTTTCACCCCACACTGCGCTGGCAGCTCCTGCCTGTCCCTTGTCCCTTCTGGGGTGTCACCCATGCCCAAATCCCGTCTCTCCTGTGCCACCCAGAGGATGGATTCTTTGCTCACAGCCAGGCAGCAGCACTTTACTGGGCCACAGCATCCTCCTGGCTCCTCCCCATCACCACAGGCTCACTGCCAGCCACGGTCGCTCCGAGTGAGGGGCAGTGCCCACCCACAGCCACCCGGGTCTGCAGCCACCCAATGAGCTTGTTTGGCCACTCCTGCAGCCTTGGGGACACACAGCTCGGAGCAGCCAGAAAACCCTCCCAGTCAGTCCCAGGACCTCCTTGCTCTGCCCTGACCTGCTGGCAGCCACAAGCACCATCACAACCCTGTGCCAGGGTGCCAGGCCAGCTCTCCTTGTCCCCTTGGAAACCATGAGGAAGGCTGGGCTTTGGTAGATGAGCCACTCCTGGAGCATCAGCCTGATTTTCCTGCCCCTGCCCGTGCTGGAAGGTTATGGAAGACAAGGCCTCCCTGGTTTTCCCAGCTCAGCATGATGGTGAACCCCCAAAGCTCTCCTTGTGCCCAGAACAATGCTGGTGGCTCCCTGGGGCTGGGACACCCAAACCCAGGTCCCCACAGGGGGATGCAGCCTGTCCCCAAATGGGACACAGGGCTCGTCCCCACCACTGGAGCCCTCCCTGCTGTTTGCAGCTCCCGTCCCACATCCCACAGGATGGCATTTTGGAGATGTCACTTCACGTCAAGTGCCCAGCCCTGAGTTCCCAGGGAGGAATCTGGGAGCTGTTGAGCTTCCAGGAGATATGACAGAGTGCCAGCCCGGAGGAGGGAGCAGCAGGATGGCTGACTCCAAACCCACCTCTGGCAGGACCCACACCGGGGCCATGGAGTGAGCAGTTCCCTGGCTGTGAGCCAGGCAGAGAAAACACCTCCCAGCCCCCAAAAGGGTTTAAAGGGTTTCTTTCCCCTTTAGGAGCCACAGCCACCAGCACAGCCCATGGTCTGACGTGGGGATTGGCAGTGAGGACCTGCTTCCCACACACTCCCCACAGGGATATTGCTTTCTGTGGATGAGCATCTCTGTCCTAAGGTGGCTCTGAACTGCAGCGTCCTCCTGCAGAGAGGAGGTGGCCTTTGCTATCACACTTGCATGACAAAACCAAGTGAGGAAAAGGGAGGCTCAGCCTCCTACCCTGGGCTGCCCCAAACAGATCCAGAGCTCGGGAGATTGGGTCTGATGCCCCTCAGAGTGGCTTCTGACTGTCCCTGGTGCTCTCTGGAGCGAAGTCTGGCCTCTGCCAACAGCCCCATCAGGTCCCCGAGGTCTGTGGCTTCATCCCTATCCCTTTGCTGTCCCTGTGTGTCTGTCCCCTGGAGCAAAATCCACTTATGCTGCTGGCCCAACCCTGGCCAGAGGGATGGGGATGGAGGGATGGGGGGGCAGCTCCCGCATCCTCATTCACCCCGTGCTACAAAGTGCGATGGGAAGGGCAGGACGGGTGGGACGGGGGTGACACTTTTGGCACTTGTTCCAGAGAGAGGGCACAGCCCTGAGCCCTGAGCTCACAGCAGGGCGGAAGACAGTGAGGGTAAGTTAGCAATGTCCCAGGGGCTGGTGACCATGCTGGGGGTGGTACCAGGTGCCCTGCCACCCCTGCCACTCTGCTCCATCTCCTGGGGAAAAGCAACCTCAAGGGCCAGGCCCTGAAGCCCACGTGCTGCTCAGGAGGAGGGTGGAGGGAAGGGGAGCTGGGGGGCACCATCACTGTCAGTGCATTAATGGGGACATCCCACGGCATGGGGACAGCCCACACCATGGCAGGGGCATGGGCCAGCAAACTTGGGGTGGGGGCAGCCCTCCATGAAGGTCACCAACTCATGCACTGAAGATACCAATGCCACCACTCATCCTGAACCCACACCCCTGAGCACCATCCTCCCATCATCTCCATCCATCCACACCTCAGGACCCCTTTTGTGGGCTGACCCTGTCCCATCTGCTCCACGTGCTGGAGGAGAGGAGCCAGGGGGTGTGAGATGGCCGGGGGCAGGAGGTGACCCACCCCTGTCAGGGCTGGAGAACGGGAAGGTGCTACTGAGGGGCTCCAAAGTGACATGGCTTTAGCCCCCAAGGAAAAGTCGAGGTTACCGTCTTTTCTTTTGAAAGTCAGTCCTGGTGCAGCCGAGGGGTGGAGGTGGTGACGCCCTTGGCACCCGGACACCAGGGTCCCTCTGGGTGGGCAGGGGGGTCTGTGCCCCCGCCCAGGCTGAGCCCTCACACGGGCAGGGCGGTCGCTGCCTGCTCCAGGTCTCGGGTGCCGGGGGGGCGGCGGGGCCGGGGCGTCTGCTGCAGCCGCACGTTGTTGTTGGTGGCCTCTGGGCCTGGGGGGAGAAAACGGGGGGTCAGGGGCTCCCAAAACCCACCGGCGCTCTCAGCTCATCTTTCCACGGGGGATGTGGTTTAGTCTCCCAAGTAACGCCCACCTCCCCAGATCCCCTTAGGCTTTTGGCTGCAGTGAGGGCTGGCGAGTGCCTGCACTTACCTCTCCAGGCTGGGGGGGCCCCTTGAACCCCCGGTTTCTCGGGAATGCCGAGGGCCAAACAGAAATCACAGCGTGACCGTGGCTGGGTTTGAATAACCCAAACGAAGGGGGCTGCCTCTGCCTGCCCTGCCCAGCCAGAGGGCACATGCAGACGCCCTGTGGGGCTGCAGGTTGGGCACAAAGGGATGTCACCGTGGCCTGGACAGTGAGGGGGTTGTCAGCAATGCCGGAACAAGGGGCGCCAACCCAGCGCCAACCCCCCCCAGGGTGATGGGGCGCGAGGCGGGCGCAGGCTCTGGGGGTCTCATACCTATTCCTCAATGTTAATGGGGCAGGAGTCCGGCACGGCGGCTGCGTGGCAGGAGAGACCAGAAGGCACATGGTGAAGGCGGGAGAGGCGGCGGCGGCGCGGGGACATGCACGCGAGAGAGCAAACGGGGGGACCGGGTGGGACCGGGGGTCTCACCGCCTGCGAACGAGGCAGGGAGCTGCCACCGGGCACGGCGGGAGGGGTCCCTCATGCGTGGGGCCTCCTGGGGTTTCGTGCCAAGAAGAACTGAGGGGTGGGCATGCTTATGGTGCGGGGCAGCAGGGTCTCTGCATGACTCCTCTCCGGCTGCAGGCTCCCTCCAGTTCAGGCAGCACCCTCCAGTTGGGACAGGGTGAGGGCAGAGGCTTGTGTCCCACCACAAACAATCAGGGGCTTAGGAAGCGGGTGCGCCCCTAAAGCAGGGGGCTGCACCCACCAGCGAGGTTAAACCCTGTGCCCAGAGCAGCTCTGAGCCAGGGGGACATGTGTGAGGGCATGTTAAGGCCAAGGGCTGAGGCTTTCCCAGAGGGGGAGCAACAAAATCCTGCTGCCTGCTGATTTATGGGAGGTGACAGCTACCATTTCGACTGGCTTTTCATGGCGAGCTCAGGCTGGAGAGCGAGGCATGTTAAGTCTGCAGATCCCGGAGGGAATGGATAATTAAACAGGACCACATGTACATGCACACTGAAATCCCATTAAGAGCTTGATATTGCCTAAGTCACTGTAGAGCTTCAGTGCAGAGACCCAGCTCAGCTCAGTGCACCCTTGGGAGGCTGCTGAGGAGCAGGGTTGGGGCAGCAGGACAGGGTCTGGCCCTGAAGCAGGGTATCAGCCCCATGCTCACCTCTTGGGCTGCAGGAGGGGTTTCCCCTGCCATCAGCAGCCAGCAAACCTGTCCTGGGCAGACCAGCTCCTAAATCCCATCACAGTGAAACCCAACCAGCTCCCTTGGCCTGTTGTGGGATCACTCAGAGCATCTGTGGCTTTAAATCAGCAAAAGCCCCCGGGGGATTTCAGGTCTTCTGCAGCAGCTCCCCAGCCCTCCCACCTTCGTGCCAACCTTTTCAGCAGGAGCCTTCCCCCAGTTTCTCTTTCCAAAGCTGTTTTTGCCACCCTGTCCCCCGACTGTGGCCACAGCCAAAGGATGCTCTGAGTCCTGTGGACAGCCTCTGTAACTCCCTACACACCCCACGGCTCTACAGGATCCACTCAGGACACAGATCTGTATGTTTTAGTTAAACCTTGTGTCCTAAAATCCCTGGGATGTGGCCTTTCGCCTCCTCCCAAAGCCTTTTCCCACCAGATTGAAATCTGCAGAGATTTCACAACACCTTTGAGGAACCACATCTCCACTACAGAGAAGGCAAAAATATAATTATCAAATCTCAACATCATTCCACTGGCTTGGAGGCTCTCCTAGACGTGGCCTCTCAAACACCAAGGATCTCAAGGGCCAGTGTGTAACTGTCTCCAAAGGTCCCCTAAAATCAGTGAATGGGGTTGTCATGCACTGGGTACAAGTCCTTAGAAATTTTATGAACGATACAGCCAAAACAAAACCACAGGATATGGAACACCCCCCGTCTGTCTCACTGTGAACCTAAAGGATTGTAAATTGAAAGATACAAAACTGGTCTTATCTCCTTATGATATAGAATCTGACTGTGTCCTAGAGGGTTTAAGCACACTCTCCATGACTGCCCCCAAAACTACTCCAAAACCTATAAAATTGCCCCAAATGTTTCACTGGTCAGACCATATGAGGTCAAACTGGTTGGACAACAACAAACATTGTTTCTCCTCGTTCCTTAAAGAAAGCAGAAATGTCCATGCAGACCAATGTTTCTACTACCAGACCAAAATGTTCACCTTTTACAGGTGCCTCCTCTACTGGATGGTTTTCCTCAGTAAACCAGAGGTCATCACCTTTCACATCTAACCAGTATATTGGGAACTGGAAGAGGGATATTGAACAATATTGATCTGGAAACTCTGGCTAATAAATTGGGTACAACCATTAATAATTTGAGCACTACAGAGCAACCCTTAAGGTCTTCCTAACCCTCTCTCTGAAACACACAGTGTCACATTCAGCTATCTTTTCTGTCTCAGAAAAATACCAAAATGCTAACAACCAACTGACTGATGCTCTGGGAATTGCTCAAAGCAAAGTGCCTTCAGCACTCAGCTGTATGCCAGCTCAGTTATGGCTACACTCTATCAGTGCTGTGATAATCAGAGAAGGGAAAAATGGACTTTTATTTTGAATTTAAGTGAAATTCCAAAGGTAATTTTGGATAATGCCACTGCATCTGAAAGGGAATTTCAATCCTGGTGGTCTTTAACCAGATTTTCTTACCTCCTCATTGCTAATAAGGCCACAGCTTTTGTCTTAGCAATATGCAATGTTTCAGTCTATACCATTCACCCCATCGTTGTGCTCGTAAGGGAACCAGATCCACCACAACATCAAGCACAGGCTTTTAAAAACAATCATACACACACGGCAAATCATTGATGTAGATGGTTGTGTGGTGAGACAATGACAGGGGTTTATATGTGAAAGTAATACTTTGAAAGCCCAAGATGCCTGTTTGGACACAGAGCTGTGTCTGTCATTTTGAAATGTCTCCTGACACTGATCCTGAACACATCCTAGTATCCATAGAACAAGGGTGTGTATGTCTAAGAACCCCTTGTGATAATTAAACAGTGGATGACAAAGATACAGCTTTGTAACCACTCGATTCTACATACTTGTAACTTTACCTATAGAGCAGGCTGTGACTTCAACTATTCTCTACCAAAAACTGTACCAGAGCATACATGACAACATCGTGTTACATGACACTTTCCCTCCAACCACTCCTGGGATGGACATTACCCTGGTTAAAAACTGTTGGAACATCCTGATCTACACAAACTGGTACAACATCAGAAAAAGGAAAGTTGTAAAACATTAATCACTGTCCATCATGATGTGGAAAAAACACATCATGTCCTACAGTGAGTGTAAAGGGGTGGAGAACATCACTGGTGTTCTTCCCACTGGCCCCTCTGCCATCCTCGGGGGACCAGGGGCAGCCCCAAAGCTCCCGCTCTGCACCTCCTCTGCCCCTGGTCCTGGCACAAGTAGCAATTCCCTGCTTTTCCCCGCAAATGCTAAGGCTGGATCGCCCCTCATGCTGGCAGCAGGGCAGCTCCGTGCCGAGGGCTCCAAGCAGCACAGCCGCTGGACACAGGGACTGGCGTGGTGGCCAAAGGATGGAGAGTCCATCCTTGGCTGGGTTCGTCCCAGGGGCCAGATCCTGCACCCCAGCCCAGGTTGGGGACACGGCCAGTGCACTCCTCACAGCAGAGCAAGAATCTGACCCTGTGCTGGAGCCGTTTGGGCTGCAAAGCTCCCCCTTCCTCATCCTCCCCCCGCCACAACCAAGGGGGATGCAGTCAAGGATGGCTTTGGCTGGTGCCACAGCCAAGGGATGCTTTGCCAGGCTCCCCAGCAAGGCAGAGGTGCTGCTGAGATATCCCCCCCAGCTCCCTCCCCAGCCCTCCTGGGCAGGGCTCAGGCAGCTGCTTCCAGAGGGTGATGGAGGGGACACAGGACTTCTGTGGCAGGAGCCTGTTCCTCCCCAAGAGCCTCAGCTGTGTTTCTCTGGCACAGAAACCACCAGGAACAGGCAAAGCAGCAGGAGAGGAGGCTTTCCCAAAGGAGTAGTGGGGAAAAAAGGATTTCCCTTCCCTCCAGTGGGTTTCACCCACCCTCTCGGCTCTCCAGCACCTGCTGCAGGTTTCAGACCTGCCACAAAGTTAGGCAAAGGGGCAAGGCAAGGGCAGAGTTGCTTTCAGCTTGTCCACAAATGTATTGATGGAGACCCCTTGGAGGGCTTTGTCTTGGTTTTTTTGCCCCATTTCTCCACACACAGGCTGAGGAAGGGTCCCCAGTCCACTGCTCCCTTTGGCCTGTGCAGGGACCAGGGGTCACCAATACATTTGTCACCTTTGTGCAACTCTGGGCAGGGAGGGGACACAAGCATGGGTGGAGAAAACCGTGTTGGCACAGAGCGAACATGAACTTTCACACGGACGGAGGAGCCTGGGGGGAAGGAAGAAGAGAAAAAAAGAGATGGAGAGAGGGAGGGAGGAAAAAGAACTGGAAGGAGGGTGGGAGAGAAAGCGTGAAGAAATGGGAAAGAGGGATGAATGTGGGGCTCTGTAGAAAGATGACCCGATCTGACATGCCCCATCTCCCTGGCCTTGGAGGAAGAGGAGGAAGAGGCAGGCAGCTCCTGCTGTAAAGCTGGACTGGCTGTGGATCACACCCCAATGCAAATACTGCTGCTCCCACCACGAGCCTGGACCAGGCTACAGTTGTGCCACCTTCCCAGGTGCAATCTGGGGTGCCAGCAGCCCCCTGGCCAAGGGACAGAGCATCCCATCAAAGCAGGTCTGCAGCCCCCTGGGGACATTCCAGCAGGGACAGGCCACCCTGACCTACGGGTGGTGACGTGCCTGGTGCTCAGCCCTGCAGTGAGATGGGTGGTGGGGTGCACTGAGGACAACCTGGTGGGGATGGCGGGAATGACGGTGATGGGAGAGGAGGGATGGACGCAAAGGGCTGGGGGGATGCAGGGAAGAGTGGGACTGTCCCCCCCCACCCCAAGTTCATGTTCAGCAGACGGCCACTCACCAGGTAAGCAGGCCTCAGAGCACAGTTTATTGTCCAGCGCTTTCACGTGTGCGATGCCCATGTCATTGTTATTGTCACACCTCAGACCGAGGAAAGCGCCTGTCCTCGGGCCTGGAAGGGAGTTAAGGCAGTTAACGGTGCTGGGGCTCCACGCTGCCTTTTAGCACTGGGGGGTGGGGTTTCTGGGGCTTTTCCTCTCCCCTCCCCAGCCTCTTTCAAAAGTAAAAAAATAGATAAAAACAATGCATCCAGGTCGGAGCGGGTGAAGAGTGGACAATAACTCCTGGGCACAGCCCGAGCTGCTCCTTTCCTTGCGCCGGAGGGCAGCGGGACAGCGAGGATGTGGTGATGGGCACACGCGTGAACTGCCCAGGGTTCAGCCAAACCTTCCCCCCTGCCCAGCTGAGCGGTCCCTGGTCGGTACAGCCAGGCCATGGTGGCATCAATCACCTCCTGTCAGAGCCTCTCCGGCACCATCGGTGCGTGTGAGAGCCGCGTGGGTGCCAGGAGGAGGCAGCAGCTGGATGCGTGGGGCAAAAGAAGCCGTAGCCAAGCTTTTGCAGGGAAATGGAGGCTTTTGGGGCTGAGGGAAGTTAACTCTGCTTCTTAGCATCACCTGTACGAGAGATCAGCCCCCGGTTGCTTGCCTGCATCCATTAGATGCAGGCGACTGAACCTCAGGAGGGATGTTCCCAAATAAGCCCCGCTGAGAATGGGAGCAGGACCGTGTCCTAAGGAGAAAGGCCATCCTGCTCCCAGAGTTGTTGGGATGCCTGTGGACATCCACCACAGCCCCTAGTTGTCCCTACTTGTCATATTTGAGTCTCCCCATCAGCAGGAGCCTCTCTGCAGGGCAGAGGCCACATTTTGGGGATGGGTGTTCCTGCTTTCCAGCTTGGCTCAGTATCCGGGTTGGATGGGGAAACAGTTTTGGCATATTTTTGCTAACAAGAAACTTGCAAATATGCAAAGGGGCACACTATGGGCCTCCTTATTGCCCAAAAGCAATCCAGGGCAGTCGGTGGCTGATGGTACCTCTTCCTTGGCTATTTGAGCTCAAGGGAGGAGGCAAGAGGAGGCCTTAATGTGCATGTGTTGACTTGTGAAATCACACTGAGGACAGGCCAAAAAACGTGAGGAAAGCATCCCAAGGGGAACAGCTTTGCAGCCTCTTTCCTATGGGAATCAGCCCAGACATTAATCCCTATAGGAGAGGCTTTCAGAGATGCAAGGAAAACCTTGTTGAGGGGGAAAACACAGAGAAGCCTCTTTCTCACTTGGCTTGTTGGAAAAACCACTGGATCCTGCACATCAACCATCACCTGCTCCATGTCCTGCACTGAGCTCACTGGGGTCCCCCATAGCCACCTGGCTCCCCCACCCACTGGTGTTCAACCCACCCATGGGTGGCCCTGTTGTGATTGATGTTTCCCGCCTCTGGTGCCTGTGGAGTCACCCAGGGCTGTCCCTGATGGCAGGGAGGGGAGCTGGGGACAACACAGCACCCGCCACTCATGGCTGCCCACTGGTGACAGCGACCTGAATGTGAAGGGACAACAACAAGCCGGGGCCTTTTACCGTCTTCCTGCGTGGGAGAGGCGTCCTCATCCTCCAGCACATCGTTGCCCTGCAGCACAGGCGAGAGGCAGCGTTAGCCAGGGGCTGCTCCCAGGTGCCCCTGGGGGAATGTCCCCAGCCCCAGGGGTTCCATGGACCAGGAGGATGATCATGGCCAGGGGACAGCCCCACTGCCCCATCCATCCCCAGGGCAGCCCGCAGGGACATGGATGTGTCAGTAGCTCCTTCCTCATCCCAGCCCCAGGGGAATGTGGTGCGAGCTGCCCAGCTTCCCCCTCAGTGGGCACCCAGAAACGGATGCAGCTGGGATCCCCCCTCCACACTGGGAGTCACCACAGCTCCCAGTCCCTCATGGGGTAGTTACAGTTACCTCAGCATCGAGCTCCTCGGCAGAGATGCTGACAAAGTTCACATCTGGGGATTCCACAGGCGTTGACTGCGGGAAGAAGGGGGGAAAGATGGAAGGAAAAACAAATAAAAAGTCTGGTGCCAGGGGGTTTGGAGGAGAAGTTACATCCCATGGGAAAGCTCTCAAACCTGGGGATGATGGGCACCACCAACAACCCCTCAGCCCCTACCTCTCCATCAGAGGCTGTGACGCTTGCGGCCGCAGGTGAGGGGAGCATGTCCCCCTCCTCCTCCTCCTCCTCTTCCTCCTCTGTGCCAGGAGCAACGTAGGAGCCAGACATGGAGGACACAGTGTCTGTGCTGAGCTGGGAGTGCTGGCTCTGGGAGGAGGCCATGGACATGACGGACTGAGCCAGGCTGCTGCTGACGGGCTCTGGGGGAGAGCAGGGGCTGAGCGGGGCCGCTGGACCCTCCCAGCCCATCAGTGCAAATCACGGCACAGCACCCGCTAATTAAAGAGGGGGCTAACGAGGAGGAAGGACTGGCTGCATGCCATGGAGACGGGATAGCTGCAAAGCTGCCAGCAGTGGGTCCTGGGCCTCACAGCCCCCCATTTCTGTGGGATGACAAAGCAGACATGATTGGTGCCTCCATCAGCCCCATCTCCAGGTCTACGAGTGACAAAGCAGAGGTGACACCCTGGGGCTCCATGCAATGCCCGTGGCAGGGAGGGAAGGGCCATGGCAACCCACTCTGCATCCCCCTGCAGTGGGAGGGTCCCAAGACCACGATGCCACTCTCCTGCCTTGCCAGCACCCCCGAGCCCCACTTCTGAGGGAAGGCCCACCTGTACCTTCCGGGGACGAGATGGTGGAGGAGAGGGGTGTCCCAGTGCATGAGGACTGGTCAATGGCTCCTGATGATGACAGGGTGAAGTTTTCACTCTCCGGTGTCGCACCACATTCCTGGAAGAGGAGCCCATGGGAAGAGTGGGATAGAAGATATTCAGTTTGGATTAACTGCCTCACCAAGGCATCCTTACGGACGGAGGAAGAGCCAGGAGGGGCAAACCGCAGCCACACCCTCTGGTTCCAAGCCTCCCCAAACCGGCTGCCCCTCCAGTGCCTCAACTCACCACCAGCACTCACCTCCTCGCACCGGGCTGGGGATCTCCTCCTGGAGACCCTCGGCTCCGACTCGGTGCACGACTTCTCGTCCTCCTCTTCAGGCAGGATGGAGGAGTTCTGCGAGATGGACCTGGCCAGAGCGGGCAAAGCAGAGGGCTTCACCCCTGCCCACAGACCCCCTGAGCCCTCCCAGCCCCCTGTGCCCACCCTGGTACTCACTTGGAGATGCTCTTCTTCAGCTTGAGCCCCGGGGGGCCGCAGTCGGGCAGGCGCTGGAGGGGCGAGAGGGCCCTCAAGGCAGGCAGGGGGCCGTCACTGCCATAGGAGGGAAGGGTCCCCACGCCCGGGGGGTCCCCCAGGGCCCGCAGTGGCAGAGCAGCCGGCGAGGGTGTCAGTGGCCCGTTGAGGGCCTCCAGCAGCGACACCACCTCATAGCCAGGGGGAATGTTCTCTGAGGACTGAGGAGAGGGAAGAGACAGGGTGAGGATCCTCCCTGACCCATTTCTCTGCATTCCCTTGCTCCCAAGCAGGATGAAGATGTCCCAGGGAGAAGATAAACCCAGACACCCAGCCAAATGCCCATTCTTTATGCAATACCAACCCTGCAGTTTGGTCAATTTGCATTAAACAAGTAAGGCTTTTCCCTGGAAAGCACATGGATTCCCAGACATTCCCATCCTGATCTCAGCAGGGTGGAAGGGGTGGGGGTCCTGCATTCAGCCAGGCACTGACCGAGTGCTCCTCAGAGTCCGAGGTCTGCGAGGCGATGATGGGGTTGAAGCTGGTGGGCGAGAGGGGACCCAGCTTCTTCCTCATGGCTCGGATTTGAAGCAGGGCTCGGAAAGCTGCGGCAGCAGGGGAGAAGGGTGGGGTGAAAACCGGGTGCTGAGAGGAGGCCCCTCAAAAAAATGCCACCCCGTTTCCCAAGAGGGGCATCCCCAGTCTGCACGGCGTCACCACACATGGGGCTGGAGGGACTGCAGAATGAAGGATGGGAGATGCCAGCCCATCCCCAGAGATACCAGCCCATCCCCAGAGATGCCAGCCCATCCCTAGAGATGCCAGCCCGTCCCCAAAGATACCAGCCCGTCCCCAAAGATACCAGCCCGTCCCCAAAGATACCAGCCCGTCCCCAAAGATACCAGCCCGTCCCCAAAGATACCAGCCCGTCCCCAAAGATACCAGCCCGTCCCCAGAGATGCCAGCCATCCCACCCAAGGCAGCAGCCCCCGGCCCTTACGCAGCCTGCAGATGGGGCAGTTGTTGGCCTGGTAGCGCAGGGTGTCGGCGCAGGTGTTGCAGAGGCAGAGGTGCCGGCAGGGCAGGATGAGGGTGTCGCGCACGTCCGACAGGCAGACGACGCACTCGGCGCTGTTATCGCTCACCTCGTCCTCGGCCACCTGCCCCGAGGGGAGGATGGGAACTGCTCAGGGCCCTCAGGGTCCCCAGCCCACATGGCACGAGGGTGGGGTGCTCTGAAATACTGCCTGGGTGCTCAGAGTGCTCGCTGTGAGGTCCTGCCTGTGTCCACGGGCTGCCTGCTCTTGAAATACACCCCTGGACCTTATTCCTCCCCTGCTGGAGGCTGGGAGATGGGGCAAAAGGAACCCCATAGGAGGATACAACCTTCACCCCAACTTTTACACATACAGAGCAGAGCATGAGGCCTATCCCATGCCTTGAGCCCCACGCTCCCTGTCCAAGCCGGCAAGATCCGGCCATCACCTTCCCACACCACAAAGTTTGGGGGGAAAAGCTCAATCCTTGAGCTTTCTGCCTCCAGCAGCTTGGATGCCAACACAAAGCATCCCCAAACACCAGCAGCTCTGTGCTGTGCTGCCAACTCTTGCCCTGAGCATGTTTTAGGGACTGGACCTGTGCTAAAGGAGGGGAAGAGGGTATGAGGGAAGACCCACAGGATGCAGGCTGGGGGATGCAGGGACATACCTTGGAATCCTGTGTGTTGTACTTGTTCTCAATGCCGTAGATCTCCTGCAGGAGGTAGCTCACACCATCCACCTGCAATCCCACGGGGAAGGGTGAGGAGCAGAGACATGCATCGATTCTCTTTGCATTGACACACTCAAAATTGTATCCAAAAACCTCCCCGGGAGGCAGGGGCAGGGTAAGGGCAGGCTGCTGCCCACCTCAGGGTTTAGGGCTCCCCAAAAGCCCCTCAGCACCTCCTTGCAGGGTGTGCAGGGCACCTCCACTGCCTTGGGGACTTCTGGACACTCACCACTTGCTTCTGCTTGAGGGGCTTCACACAGAAGGTGCCATCACTGTGCTGGAAGGAGGAGAGAACACACGGGTGGGCACCCATGGACTGTTCTGCCGGAGCATCCACCCACCCCGCAGCTGCCACTGTTCCCAGCCAGTCCATTTGGCAGGAATTCTGGCTTTTCCTGACACCCCAGAACCAGGTAGCTGTGGGATGTCACGGGCACTGCAAAGCTGGAGACTTGTTGGAGGAAGGAAGATGGGAGTTGAGCCCAAATGCCTCTATAGTGGGTGCTTAAAATGAGGGAATAGTGCCAGAATTTGAGGAGCAGCCCCAAAACAGCCCCCGCCCAGCAGCACCATCCCGAGCCCCTCAGGGATTCTCCAGGCTCTCACACCTGGTGGGTGAGGGGGGATGAGAGGGAGGATGGCCCCAGCTTGGCACTTACCTTCTCAAAGGTGGCCAGCAGCACGTGGCAGTGCCCGATGTGCTCTGCAAGACACAAAGGGACAGGCAGGGCTCAGGGGACAGGCAGAGCCACGGTGGCAGCAAGGAAAAGCAGGAGGCTCTGCCCAGGTGGCATCACAATGCCAGCAACTGGGAAAGCCCATCCCAACAAGGAACCCCCTTCTCACCCTCTCCTTCATCCACCACTGCCTGCACCACCATGGGATACACCTCCCGGTCCAGGTCGAAGCCCAGCTGGAGAGAGATGGGAGAAGAGGATCAGTGAGATGGAGGTGGGATGAAGCCTCTGTCACTGCTTGTTCATCACCACAATCAGGCCCACAGTGGATGCTGGGGCTGGGGGAACCCACCTCCTCCTCGCTCCACTCAGAGGGGTCGATGGTGTGGGAGGGCACACAGAACTGCTGGCACACCCCCCGCTTGTAGTGCACTGTCTCCGACTGCAGGCTGTTGTCCCTGGGGATGTAGCTGTCCCATGGAGAGAGGACAGAGTCAGGGCACCACAGCTGTCCCCACACTCCCCCTGGTCCCCCCAGATCATGGAAACATCAGGAAGATGGGAGTGGGGGGGAGGTCACTCCTCCCCTCCCCTCCCAGATGCTTCTTGGGGCTGAGGTAAGAAGTCCTAAAAAGGGCTAAAATAATCCTCAGGGCTAAAATAAACACAGGGCAGCCAACACAGCACAGGAGGGGATGCAACCTGGAGAGGACTGGGAGGGACAATGATTTCTCCCCGTCTCCGTTCTGACCTGAAGGTAAAAAGAGGGAGCAAGATCGGATGGGGAAGAAGGTGGCAGGGGCTGGCAGGGACCTGGTGGTGGCACCTGGGGGGGAGATAAGGAGCCCCCTCCATCCTTAGCACCACCAGCAGCTGTCTCGTGCCCTGAAGAGGAGAGAGGCTCCAGGAGGGAGAGGCTCCAGGCCCAGCAGCCAGGGGCACACACTGGGCTTGGGGGGACACAGGCCAGGCTAGAGGGGAACATGGGCCAGGCTGGTGGCTCCTCACCTGGCCACCCCATTGTGAAACTCCTCGGTTGCCTGGTAGTAGATGGTGATGGCCACACGGGTGTCCGTGTCGAAGGTGAACTCCACGTTGTAGTGCACCTTGGCTTTGCTGACTTCTTCCCCGGGGGTCTTCACCTCCTCCGAGCACCTGGGGAGCACAGAGGGTCCAGGAGATGGGCACCCCTCAGGAACGGCTCGGGGTGCTCCAGGACTGGCCCCCTCAGCACTGATGGCCCCAAGAAGGGGCTGCTGCCCTCCCTCAGGGGAAACTGAGGCACACCAGGAGGGCCCAGCACGCCCAAGGTCAAGCCTACAGGCTGGGAAGTGCCGCAGACAGATTTCAGCCTAATCCCGAATCTCACAGCCCTGCCGCAATCCCCAGCCTCCCTCCAGCAAAGCCTTTGGAAGGTGGGGGAGGAAGAAGCAGCAAAGCACTTCAAAGGCAGCACTAAGCTCCTTTAATCCTGCGGCAGTGCCTGTGCTGGCATGCGGGAACCGAGACAGGCTCATCCCTTCTATCTGCCCGTGCTGAAATGAGAGCAGCCCCGTGCACACCATCCCCTGGGAGCATCCAACCAGCCCCTTCCCTCCCCGTGGCTCGTGGCCGTGGGGTGCCCGGACTCACTTGACGAGGCGCAGGGTGTCCTTGCGGATATTGATTAAGCTCCTGAGGGTCTTCACGGGTTCCTGAGGAGGTGGAGCAGCGTAAGGGAACTAGGATGAGAGAGACACCGGTGAAGGCAGACGCTCATGGGGGGTTAGAGTGGCTGCGGACCCACCAGTGACCCAGACCCAACACCCTGTGGAGGGAATTGGGGTGGGCAGGGGTGCTCCTGCTGGCGCAGGCAGCACGGTGACAAGGACATCCCTCGGCAAACAGCAAGCCCAAAACCCTCTGCAGGGACAATTTCACTGGGGAGGGGTCACGCAGAGAGGGGCTGTTCCTTGTCCCTTCGGTTGGAGGGTGAGGAGGATTTAAGGCACAGGCAGGCGGCTGCTGATGGATGGTTAGGCTGCTGGATGAGGCTGGGCAGGGGGAGGCTGAAGCTCCCTCCCTGCCCACCAACCAAGGAACAGGCACAAATGTCTCTGTGTCCTCCCTGGGATGGATGGGATTTGGGTGGTGGGATCCCTTCCAGCCCCATGCCCGGAGCAGAGAGCCAGTGGGGCAGCTGGGCAGGACCAGGCAGGCAGCAGCATCTGTCCTCCAAGGTGACATTATCCTTCCCAGTCTTTCCTGTCCACCTGCACAGGGGCTATAGAGGAGAGGGGACACAGTGGTACCCAGGGGACACCCTCTCCTTGGCACTACAGCCACCCAAAGGAGACCAAGGGCATTGGGGAAGGGATGTAGGACCCACCTCTCCCCTCTCCATCTCCATCTCCCAGGTGGGTTGAGGTCCAGGAGGAATCAGCCCCAATTAAGGCCCAGCTTGTTGCCCAGCTGTCACTGCGTGCCAGGGGACAGCCAGGAGGGTGTCAGGTGCCATCGGGGAGGGCAGATGCTCAAAGAGCCTCAACTGCTGCCTTAGGAGAGGGAATAGTGTCCCACTGTTCCCCCACACCGCCCCCAGCCCAGAGAGGAGGGACAGCAAGGCACCCACTGCACCCCAATACTGAGGGGACAAGACCAAATTGCAGGTGGCACGTGGGGGTGGCCTGCAGCAACCCAGGCACCCCTTCCCCATGTCCCTGGTGCCCTCACATGGGAAATCCATAGTCACCTAACCTGTCCCCAAAGTTATCATCTCCTTCCCTGACCCCAAAGCCCTGCAGAACAGGATGGATGGGGCTGAGGGACCCGTGCTGGGCTCAGAAGGACAGGATGGGACAGGCAGCTGGCAGAACTCAGCAGGGCAGGCACAGCTCTGCCCCATCCCTCCTCCACCACCCCAGCATTACAACATCCAACCATCCCACGGCTCTGATCCCACTGGGGCCATCCGAAGGCGGATTAAAGCCTCGGCTGGATGCAGCGTGGCTGATGGCACTAGAGGCTTTGGAAATGAATTTCCAGCACTGTGGAACTGCGTCCCACTCCTCTGGTCCCCTCCAGGAGGGCAAAAGGGCAGCAGAGCCATTAGCCCGGTGTTAACGAACTTTTTAATGAATCACTAAACGTGCACCTGCAGAACTGTGCACCTGCAGAGTCACCCGTGGCAGCTGGAAAGGAGAAAGTGAGAAAAGGCCTCCGGGTTGGAGCTGACCATGTCACGACACGTTGTGCCGTGTTGCGATACATCCCCTGCTGTTCAAATTAACCAACTAATTAAATCTTGCTCGTTGGCACCTCTGCCCAGCCGAGCCATACCCAAACCAGCCCTGGCAGGGAAAGCACCCATGGGTGCAAACCCCCTCCTGCTGCAGCACCCCGGGGGTGGGTGGCAGATGAGGGAGGGGGCAGCTGAATCCCCTGGGTGCCCCCCGCAGGGGCCGTTGGGCTGGGCAGGATGGGGAAGTGACACAGGCAAATTTTGTGCTGCAGAAACTGCTTTGGGCTCTTTCACACCCACGTGCGAGCAGCTCTTTTTGGGGGGTGGCTGGATTTTTGTTGGTTTTTTTTTCCCCCCAAGTTAAATTTTGCAAGCTGGATTTGCACATCAGAAAGGGGCCATTCAGAGGACGTTTTGCATCTCCTCACTTTAAATCAAGCTGAAACACAACAGAAAAAAGTGGGTAACGGTTGTGGTGAAGAACATTATCCATGTGTCTGTAGCAACATTTGTTCCAGGCCAGCTTCTGTTGAAGTGAAAAAAAAACAGCCTCAAAAATCTTTCTTGGGGTTTTTCTACAAGCAGACCCTGGCAGGTTTGTGTGGGCAGGGAAACCCAGTGTCATGTTTCAACAGTTCCAGGCTTCCCCTGTGCTCTCGGGGTGCCACCAGCAGCTTCTCTGCTCCTCAGCCCCTGCATGGTGGCAGCTACTTAAACCTGCAACGCCCTTCCCAGCCCCTCTGGAACCTGTTCACAGCTGGAAAATCCAGATTATCATGCATCCATGGAAAGGAGAAGCTGCACAGCCTCCAGGTGCTTTGCACACCCCTGTGGCAGCAGTGCTGTTCATTGCTCAAAGTGCTTTGCTCAGAGAAGACCTGGGACACAATTTTTCCAAGACCTCCTGGCCCCCGATCCTCAAGGAACCCAAAATAAATCCCCCACCAAAAAAAGCAATGGCCATCTCCAATGTTTACAGCCCAACCATGGCTCTCACAAGAGTCCAGAACATGAAAGCATCACAAGCCAAGAAGCATCAGGACAGGATGCCCAAGCGTTGCCTGGAGATAGGCTTGGACCAGAACCAACATAAATCCTCCCTAACCCCTCCCTGAGCCCCCAAAACTGGCTGACCCGAAAGCTCAGCCCCAAAGCTCTCCCTGCTCCCCAGGAAGAGGGATCCTGGTCCCAGCTCAGCAGCCCAGGGCCATTGGTAATTAAGCCAGAGCAGTGAAATTTAGCTCGTGACGCCGTATTAATTCTCTCTGCTGCTTCCAAGCTGTTCCTTTACCTTCCCTGCTGCTCTGCTGTCGGGGCCACTGACTCAGGAACTGCTCACTGGGCAGTTTAGAGGCTTTTACTGTAATCAAGAGGATTTCTCAGCAGTCGCTGCTGCAGAGAGACCCCGAGTGCTGACTTCTCATTTTCCAGGAAAGAACAGAGGACGGAGAGAAAGGCTCTGCCTTCGCCCACCCAATGCTCACAGGATTCAGGGGTGCTCCTGCCCTTGGCTCTGCCAGGATCCCTGCTCTGGCATAGCCCAGGGCTGGACACTTCCCCACTGAAGGACTGCACAATCCTGCCAAAATGCTGCCGAAGCCAATTCCAAAGAGGAAACAGGAACCTGGCTGGCAGCAGCCTCGCCAGCCCAACATGGAATATGCAGCACTTGAGAGCCGAGCCAAAGCATCAGGCAAGTTTATCTCAACTCAACAGAAAAGCTTTAGAGCCTTTTAATTCCCCACCTCGAATTTTTTTTAATGCTTGACCCCCCCACAACTGCTACAGCTGATGCTGGTGAGCTGCTCTGCTGAGATGGAGCTGGGGACATCACTGCCACAGCTGAACTCTGCTCTCATTTCCTCCCTTTCCAAAGGCAGCCAGCTCAAAAAACATCTCCAGGAGTGTGGGTTGCAGGTTCCCCCATGTCCTGAGACCAGCTAGAGCTGGCAGCACCCAGCACTGCAAAACCCATCAGTTCTGCCCACAGCCCTCATCAAATCCCCCCCTTTTTTCCCCCCCTCTTCTTCCCCTTTTTCTGCTAGAGCTTGGGAAATACTTTCACCTTTTCCTGTCCAAGATACTCTACCCTGCAACATAACAGCACAGCTCCAGCATGCTCCCCACCCGTGCCCTCTGAGCTGGGATATGGCTCCTGGCTGAGATGGGAAAAGCAAAAGGAAAAGCAGATCTCAGAGACGGAGTCAGAAAGAAGGAGTTGGATTAAATCAGTCCATTCTCCCTCACCATTGGGGGTTAGTCCCCAGTGGAGGACAGGCTGCAGCAAGTACCCAACCCTTATATTACACATCAGAGAATCCACTCAGGCCACCCCAAGTGTGCTTGGCTGGCTCTGCCCTTGGAGGGGGACAGTCAGCAGCCTTATACCATGCACCCCATGACACACACAGCCGCTGCCATTTTGGGAAGGGGTGTGCCTGTGCTCCAGATCCCCCCCCAGCCCCACATCCCCTCCGGTACCCACCACCACGGGCCGGTTCCCCAGGAAGTTGAGGTCGCTGTTCTCCCCGAAGAGATACCCCTCGGGGTGTGTGGAGTCGAACTTCTCGCCTCCCATGATGAAGTGGTTGGCAAAGTAGCTCCCTGGAAACGAAAACACAGCGAGTGCCTCAGCAGAGGGGGAGGAGGGGGCTTCAGCCGGGCGATGGAGCGGCACAAAGCCACCGGATCGATGGCTCCGAGGTGACTTTGTCCCCAGGGTCACCTTGCTGGGAGCCTTTCAGGTTGAGCTCACATGCTGACAGCCCCCAAGCTGGCAGAGGCAAAGAAGGAGCTGGCCAAGACTGCCCTGCACCCCCTCTTCTCCCTGCTCACATCAGCAACCACGGCCAAAATCTGGGCAGACAGAGCCAGGACGGGGAGAGGCTGGTGCAGGGGTCTATTCCCATGGCAGCACTGGACCCGGGGACTCCTCCACCCTGTGGGATTTAACAGGAGCAGATTCACACCCCAGAGCTTTGGCAGCTGCAGCACCTGCTCCCCTTTCCCTTCCCAGGAAATCCCTGTGAGCCCCAGCGTGGCCTGAGCCACCCAAGGTCATCCTGACCTTCAGCTGGCAGGAGCGGCCGGATCCTGGTCTGTGAGGAGAAAGAGGAGACAGCTCTGGGGTGGCAGAGCAGGAGAGCAGCTCCTTGCTAATCCTTGGCATAAACACCAGCTCATGCCCAGAGGAAGCAGGAGAGGCAGCAGCACAGTCTGACCTGCCAGAGAACCCAGAACCCTGCAAGTCCCAGAGGAGCCAGGCCGGCTCTCACATCCCCAGGGATGCTGCCAGGAAGGGGTAGCATGGACCAGGCACACAGCCCTCAAAACAGGCGGGGTTGATCCTGCCAGAGCCCGGCAATACAGACCTTGTGTGCCACCCAAGGCAGCATGTCCAGACACAGGCACAAATTTGTTGCAGCTTCCACCAGGAAGGTGGGCAAAGTACAACTGAACCGAATTCCATCAGTTCTCAGCTTGCAGCCTTCCCTAGGAAGGGCTCACCTGCAAAAGGGAGGATTTGGGGGGGGGTTGCAGACCCTCCAGGAGCTCAGCAATGCCCTTACAAAGTGCTCCACATTGCCCTGATGAACACTGGGCAATGACCAGTGTCCCTTCTTCCCTTGCAGGGTAAACCCGTTCCCGAAGTTGGGAGTAGTCTCCAGGTCAGGCACTTCTCCACTGGAAGAGATTTTCCTCCCAGCCCAGACAGGAGCTGACTGGTACTTGCTCCTTGTCCATGAGATCTGGGCTGCATGGGGAAAGCATGTTGTGGCACAGGATCCAGCTGGGCAAGAGAGTCAGGAATTGAGATGGGAAAAGAAGGGAAAGGGGGAGGTGGACAGGGATGGGGCAGCAGCGAGGGGTGAGCACAAGCACCTGGGAGCCAGGAGAGGCAGCGGATGTAGGCTGGACACAGTGTCCTGCATCCCAACAGCCACAGGGACAGGGTCTGGCTTGTAAAAAAACCCCAAACTCACTAGCACAGATCCATCCACAGCCCCCCTGGGGACATCCAAAACTAAACCATTGGGGTCCACAGACAAAGGAGCTCAAGCCTGGGCTGCAGCTCTGCTTGTGGGGACTGCAGTCAGAGGCTTCCAGTAGACTCAGGGACTGTCCAGGGCTGGATCAGGCTTTAATACTGCATTTAAAAACCAAAGCCAAGCCCAAAGCCCAAGGGGAGGAGGAGCAGGGATCTAACACCGGGGCAGGAGGGGTGAGTGGGGCCACAGAGCTTCGTCCCAAGGCCCCGTGGCACTGGGATGCCCGGATGCAGTGTGCCCGTTAGCAAACGTTGACCATCAATTATTGATGCCTGCTGCTTTCAGGTCCCATTTTCCATGTACATAATTTATAGGCAGCTCGCCTGGAAGGACGCGGCCACGTGGAAAAAAAACAACCCCAAGAGCAAAGTGCCTTCAGAGCCGCCTGAAACGGCACGGCCGGGGGAGAATGGGGCCATCAGGAGCTTTTCCTGGCACTGACTTGGGGCAAGAGCAGGAGATGGTAAAAAAATTATATTTGAACCTGAAGAAAAGCTGCCCCAGCACCAGGAAAAAGCTGGAAAATGGAGCACAGGCTCTCTGTGATGGCCCCAGCCATAGTTTGGTGGGTGCTGGGGGCTCCTGTAGGATGGGCAGAGTGGGCAAGGATCATGCTGCTGTCACCCAGTCTCCCTGCCAGGGATCGGAAGCATCCCTGCAGGTTCCCAGCACAGCCCCAAGAGGCTTCAGCTCCCCCTTCACAGCAAACAGCACCAGCCCTACGCTCCCTCCCAGGGAAGGTCCTCCAAAACCCTTGTCATTTAACAAAAGCCTTGAGTTGTGCCAGGCTCTTCCAGGGAAGCACCAGGGAAAGCCCAGGGCATTGGCACAGGAGCGTGTCGGTGACTCCATGGGCACTGGCAGGTGGCAGAGGAGGGAAGCACCTTCCCAGGCACAGCCACCTTATTATCAGCTAATTGTAAATCCTCACTCAACGCCTACTCCCGGGGAAGGAGAGCCTGTCAAGGACGGTCACATCTCAGGAAGGGCTGCTGGAAAGGAGGAATAAACCCAAACTGCCTGAGGTTCCTGGCAAAAAAAGTGTGTCCTGCACATCTGCCAGCACCAGCACACAGGACACATCTGGCACCAGCTGACAAGCCCTTTTCCCCACAAGTGCCAGGGATGCCACCCTGCTCAGGTGCACAGAGAAGGGCGAGAACCCCACAGGCACAGACCCTGGTGTGTGCTATGGCTGCGCCCGTGGCTCTGGCACACAGTGGCACGTGTCTTGCACTGTCCCCTGAGCCACCACTGCCCTGATGGGGTCTTGCTTAGCTCTGGTACTGCAAACTCTGGCTCTCAAATGTTACAGCCCCGCTCTCTGAAGCAGCTAAAATAGAACAGCTCGTTCCCAGCCCATCCACACGCTCCCAGGGAGGGAAGCACCGAGTTTGCACAGCCTTCGGTCAGCCCAGCCGGGTGGCCATGGCACGGTGCTGGCACAGGGATACCCTGCGGCAGTGAGTGCCAGCATAGGGTGCTGTGATGGTTAAAAGGCTCTGGGTGCCCCTGGGCAGCCCATTATTTAATTCAGTGCTCTAAAGCAGGCAAACAGGACCAGCAGCAGCTGGAGGTGATGCCAAACCCTGTCTGCAGCACTGCTGCGTCAGCCCTTGTCCGCCCTGGCAGTGCCACCACTGAGTCCCCCAGGACTGGGGGTGTCACTGCCGGGTTAATCCCTGTGCTCCTGTGCCCAGCCAGCACCCTACTCATGGTCCCACATGCCCCAGGGGAGCTCAGTGCCAACCACAGCCAGTGACAGGGGCTGCAAGTGGGGGACTTGCCCCACAGCCATCCCACTAGCCAGGCAGTGGGCTCCATAAACAGCCTGTGCTGGCTCTCCCTCCTATTGCCTTTGACAGCCACTGAAGTAAACCCGAGCCTTTGTTTCAAAATTCTGGCTTAATTGATCCCATTTACACCTTGCCTGGAGGGGATGGGACCCCCAGGATGGAGAGATGTTTATCTGGGACGAGACACAGCTGCCCTATTCCCACAGGCTGCACTGGCCCTCCCAAACGAGCCTGCAGCCCGACGGACAAAGCCACATCCACAGAGAGAGGGAAATGCCCCAGGGTCCATGAGATCCCACTCCAGGGCCACGGCTTCCAAAGCCAGCGGCTGTTTCCAGCCGGTGAGAAGCGCTGCCGCCACGGAGGAATCGGCTCCGCCACCCGGCACATCCCCCCTCTTCAGGCTGCCGGCAGCGCTGAAGGCAAATCCCACTCGGATTAAAGGCAAACCAGCCATAATCTCCCACTGCCACCAGCCTGCCCTCGTCCCAGTGCAGATGGCCATGTCACCTGAACACCTCCTGCCCCTGTCCCCAGACAGCACCAGGACCGTTCCCCATCTCTGCCCAGGCCCCACCAGTGGGACCAGCCCAGCTGAGCACATCCAGGAGCCCCAGTTTCCCCCTGGAAGGCGGAGTTAAGCATCATCCTGGTGATCTCTGCCAGCTGAGATGAGTTTGGAAGTGCTCAGCTGGGTGCACTTGCTCCCTGGGAACTGGGCACAGGACTTGCAGCCTCCACCCTTTCATACCCAGACATTTCAAGGGCCCCTAAATAAGACACGGTCACAAGGAAAAAACCCTTAATTAATGGAGCCACAGCCCCTGCAAAGAGCAAACCCACGGATGGGGTGGTCCAGCTTCACCTGGCATCAAGGTGACAGAGGCCTTGAAACCATGTAAAAGACAGAACTGGAGAAGCCCACCAGGAGGCCAGGCTGCCAAGGACCGGCCATCTCCAGCCAGCTGTGCAACCTATTTTAGGTTAAAATGAAAAAAAAAAGACAAGCGCAGCTTTCCAGGACAAGCGCAGGGTTTGTGTTGGCTGTAATTCTTCCTAAGGAGGTCTTTAGTTGTAATTAGCGAGCAATTTGTCACAGCGCTAACGATCCAAGCATTTACCTTATCCTATTAACTACCAAAATAGTTGCCTATTAATAATATTCAGTGCCGCAAGGATCCTGTGGCAATCCCCACACACACACACAGGGAGCTCCGGGGCATCGTTCCCTGATGCCGGTATTTTTGCGGCTCTGAAGCGCTGCCGGACCCCATCGCCTCCCCCCGCCGTGCCCCCCACATGCCCCCCCCGGACACCAGCTCAGCCCGGCCCTTGCAGGGAAAAGTGAGGCATGGAGGGGAGGGACGGATTCTCCAAGGTCACGCACAAGGTTTGAGACAGGGCCAGATTCGGGAGCAGGAGATGCATCATCACCGAGCCTCCAGGCAGGGAGAGGAGCCGGGAAGGCAGAGGCTGGGGTGCTGCTGTGGGGCAGAGCCCTGGGAAGGAGGGATCCCCTCCAATCCCTCCCACCCCAGCCTCCCTCATCCTCCCGGGAATTTAAACCCAGGATTTTCCCGAGCAGCCAGCAACGGATCGGCAGGCTATAAACACAAAAAGCGCCTTCAGAGCCCGGTGCAGCAGAACACGGCTACAGAAACAATTACAATAATAATGTCTTTAAAGTCGCGTCAACTCAGCCAAGTTTGGGAACCGGGCTGGGCTGGCAAAGGGGCGCCCGGAGTGGGGTGACCCCATCCCTGCTCGCACCCAGGGTGTCCCGCACCAGACCCGGATTTTTAGGGTGCCCCCCCCCCCCCCCCCGTGTGTCAGGGTCTGCTTTGGGGTGCGCAGGGACACCCCGGCCCGGAGCAAGGTCGTGCCCGGTGCCCGCCCCGCTAGCTCCCCTCTCCCCCTCCCCATCGGCGGCACCGGCACGCGGGGACCCCCGGGGGGCTCACCGGATTTCGGGGGGTATCTGTAGACGGAATTAGCGGGGATATCCACTTCCTCCACCCCTGCGTTCTGCCGGCTGGTCAGAGCCCCCATGGCCGGGCCGGGGCTCAGCGGGCGGGGAGCGGCGGGGTGTCCTCCCGCCCGGGACCGGCACCGGGACCGGGACGGGGGCCGGGACCAGGGCTGGCGGCGGCCCCCGCCCGCAGCATCCTCCGCTCCGCTCTGCGCCGCGCCCGGCGCCGCCTCCGCGGCACCGCGGGGCTGCGACACACGGGGCGGGGCCGGGAGCGGCGACACGCCCCGACCCGCCCCGGAGCGGTCCGGCTCGGCCGTGGGGACGAGGGGACAGGGCGCTGCCCCTGCCCCCCCGATCACCCGGTGTCCCCCCACCCGCCCAGCGGGGTCCCCCCCTCGGGTGCCACTTACCTGTCCCCCGCGGTGCTACACGCGTGCCCATAGTGCCACCCGCCTGCCACCCCCTGTGTCACACAGATGCCTCCAGTACTGCTCAGTGGTCCCCCTCGCCATTACCTGCCGCTCCCAGTCACACCACCCTGTGACCCCTGCCCACCCCAGTATCACCCCCCTCCTTGCCCCCATCCCCACCAGTGACACTGAGCAGCGCCCTCAGCCCAGGGACCCCCAGGGACAGTCTGGGCCCCTGAGGCTGGTTCAGGGCATAATCCTTCTGTTCCTGTGCCCCCTGCCGCTGGGGTGGCCCCTGGGAGAAGGACAAGCCCCCCCTTTTCCCAGCAGGTCACATGAGGAAGGAGTCGGTGCAGCTGTTGGCACAGGGGCTGATCCCCTCCAGCAGCACCCCAGGGCTGCACAGTGCTGGGGGATGGAGTGGGGCAGGTTAAAAGCCCCCCTCCAGTGCACACCTCTGTATTCCCCATCCTTCCCAGCTCTGCTCCGCACCAGGAGCAGCTGCATCTGCCAGGCACAGCCTCTGGAGGCAGGAGCTGCCTGTCCGCTCCAGTGCACCCCAACAGTTCCCCCCAGTTCCCCCAGCATTAAGTTACTGGGAAGCACTGGGCACTACCTCATTTTCCCCTTGGAGCTGAAGGGGAAGGATGGACCCTTCGACCGGTTGCTGAAGCCCACCGGTGATTAATTAGTCCGGCAGCGCAAGTTAGTGGAGCATCACATGATTTTGATTTGAGTTGATAACACGAGTGCTATAAATATCAGACGGGAGATGTGCAGAGAGGCGGATCAGCTGCCTCGATGGCCTCGGCTGCTCAGTGGTGATGAGCAAAGGCTGTCCCCGGGGCTCCCCTCTTCGCCCCCTCCCCGCAGAGGGACACAAGGATCCCTCTCCCCAACTGCTTCCTACACGCACAGCCCCAAAGGCAGCTGAGAAAAGCCAAAACAAAGAGCAGCCACACACCACGGGAAGCCAAGGGGTGGCTTTGTATCCCCTTTGTCAGTCTGTCACTGTCACACCAGGAGCCACAGCCCCAGCAGTGACACCGTGTCCGTGCTGTGGGATGTCACACCTGGGCTAGGTGCCAGTGGGAGCATCGGCCAAAGAAAAGGACTTGGACTCCATGATCTTAAAGGTCTTTTCCAACCTAAATAGTTCTATGAGGAGCAAAGGGCGACATCAGCACCGGGAGCCTGCTCCAGCTCTCAGTGCTGGCACCCACCCGGGAATCCTGAGACCCCAGGGGCTGATCCCCGTTCACCCCAACACACCTTTTGGGGAGCCTGTTCTGGACACGAATCACTTACAAATGTAGCACATCCCTGCACTGCTGAGCTGCCAGTCCCGCTCCCCTGCCTCGCTCCAGCCAGCACTGACAGCGGGGAAACACGAGCCAGAACATTTCATTACCGGCACACACCAGACTGCAGGGTTTTAGTGCAGACAATAATTCAAAGTTATCCCCGTGCAGATCCACAGCCCAGCAGTCATTACAGGCAGAGCTGCTGCCTGCACGCAGGGCTCGTGTTTTTTTTTTCCCAGCGATTACTGCAGCAGAGGATTTTGTAGGACAGTGCCGCAGTGGAGCGCGGGAGCACTGGCAGGAGCTGGGTGGTGATATGGCTTCGAGGGCAGGTTCCCTCCCAGCTCTGCCCAGACGTATTCCCAGATCCCAGCAGACATAAAGCCAGGACAAACCCCAACGGGGCCAGAGAGGGAACCCAGAAAAAACACATTTGACCCAAAAATGCACCTGCTGCTGGAAAAGATGCAAGTCTGAAGTTCACACTGCCCCGCTTTGGGACTTGGGGTGTGCGTTTGGCAGGGAAGGAGGATCCTGCTCCTGCCTCCTTGTGCTGAGAGGGAAACTGAGTTACAGGAGAGCACAGTGGTTAAGGTTGAAGAGAAGAGTGAGCAGCAGCAAACGTCTGTCTGTACACCCAGTCCATTCCCAGTGCACTCCCAGTTCCCCCAGCAGTCACTGGCACATGCTGTGGAGCCACCAAGCCCTCTCCCCCCCCCCGGCTGGCTCTGCTCCCAGCCTGTGCAGCCCCGCAGGAGGCAATGGCTGTGGGGGAGGTGGCCCTTCATTAGTGGGTGCTGAGCCCACGCGAGGGCTGCTGTGTCCTTGGTTCCCCAGCTCCTGGCTGGGAAGGTGCTGGGAGCCTCCCCCCTGCCTGGAGGGGTGACTCCAGACCCCTGGGGATCCCAGCTGGGCAGCTGGGGAATGGAAGAGCATCTGAGCAGGAAGGGAAGACAGCCAATCCTGCCCTTGCTGCAAGTGCTGCCCCAAAAAAGGGGTTCATTTTCAAGGACTGAAGGTCCTGCTGACTTTTCCAAGTGTCACAAACACTGTTTTGTCACAGCCTCGGATGCCAAGGGCTCACGAGAAGCGTTCCCATGGGTTTCCCAGGCAGGCACTACACGAGGCAGGTTCCTCCCAGCTTTGCTAACTCAGCTCAAAGCTGTGCACGAGTGGGTGGTTTTGGCAAGCAGGAGGTTCTGAGAGCTCTCCAGGGCTGCGTGCAGGAGGCAGGTGGGTTTGGGATTCTGGCATCTGGAATTGCTCCTCTCACTCCTCCGCCTGCCTCGGGGCTGGCTTTGCCCCAGGAGGATGAAGCCACCTCCAAATTCTCACCTGGGCAAGCAGGGCCCTCCGTAAACATTGCTGCAACCTGGTGACTGGGATCCCCCTGAACATCCTGGGATGGTATCCAGTCTGGGGAAACACACACTGGCATTGCTTCTCCATCACATCCCTGCCTGCTGGACCTCATCTCCATGGGACCACCAGGGCTTTGCAGAAGCCCCACATGGACCCTCACACACCAACTGCTGGGTACAACTGGCTGCAGATGCTGCTTCAAGTTTCCATTCCTCCACCTCCTCATTCCCTCTCCCTTGGCTGGCTGGTCACCACAGCCACATCCAAACCTGCAATGGCTCTCTCCAGCTCAATATATTTTCACACCGTCCATTTGCAAAGTCCCTGGTTTGTTCGTTCGGGGTTTAAATGCCAATTTTCTTTTTTTAATTAAAACACTTCAAGGCTCTTATCACACTGGTCCCACTCAGTCCCCAAACCCAGCAGGGGGGAACACCCAGGGGAGAGCTCACCCTTGCAGGCTGAGACTGAAGCTCAGAGTCACCAGGATTTTAAACCATTACCAAAAAATCCCAATGCCCCCAAAACTTGGAGGTTCCCTGAGCCCCTCATGCTGAGGCCTTCATAGGAGAAGGGTATGGGGATGAACTGAGGCTGGGTCCTCCCTCCTGCCCCCCAGCATCAGGTTAGGGTCCCTGTCCCGGGGATAACAGGGAAGGAGGGCAAGGAGGGTGCTGGGAGAGCCTTGTTGAGGGAATGGGGGAGCCTTGCTGGGGGGAGCCAAGGCAGGGGGTTCCGGGGAAGCCCCCATGGGAGCAGCCCCCCCTGCCTGGGGTACCCTCAGGGCAGCAGAGTCCCCCTTCAATGAACTCCCACCTCGGTGAACCCCCCCCTTAATCAACCTCCCCTACAGTGAGCCCCCCTCCTCTCAATGAAGCCCTCCCTACAATGAACCTCTCCCCCAATGAACCCCTCTACAATGAGCCCCCCCTCAATGAAACCCCTCTCGATGAACTTCCCCTACAATGAACCTCCCCCTCAATAATCCCCCTAACAATGAACCCCCGCTACAATGAGCCCCCTCCCTTGACAAACCCCCCTCTCAATGAACTTCCCCTACAATGAGACCCCCTCAATGAACCTCCCCCTCAATAACCACCCTTACAATGAACCTCCCCCACTGTGACCTCCCCTTACAATGACCGCCCCACAATGAACCCCCCCACAATGAGCCCCCCTCCCCTCAATGAACCTCCCTCTACAATGAGCCCCTCCCTCAACGAACCCCCCTCTCAATGACCCCCCTTACAATAAGTCCCCTTCCCCTCAATGGGCCCTCCCCTCAATGAACTCCGCTCTCAATGAACCTCCCCCTCAACGAACCCCCCCTACAATGAATCCACCCTACAAAGAACCCCCCTCCCCTCACTGCCCCCCCTCAATGAACCCCCCTCTCAATGAACTTCCCCTACAATGAGACCCCTCTCAGTGAACCTCCGCCTCAAGAACCTCCCCTTTAAGACCCCCCCAATGACCTCCCCCCTACAATGACCTCCCCTCCCCTCCCTCCCCTCTCAATGAACCTCCCCCTCAATAACCCCCCTACAATGACAACCCCCCCCCACGAGCCCGTCCCGCGCCTCTCAATGAACGTCCTCAATGAACGTGACGTCACCAACGCCTCACACTCACACCCCCCCCCCGCTCCCCACGCAGCCAATCAGCGCCCGCGCCGCTCCTTCTCCGCCTCCCGCCGGCCAATGGTGGCGCCGCCCGCAGCCAAAACACAGGCGGCGGCCAATGGGGGGGCGCCGGCGCAGCTGGAAGGTTCGAGCGGGGCGCTGGGCGGGGCGCGGGGCCCGGGCCCGGCCAATGGGCGCGGGGGGGCGGGGCCGCGGCGCCCCCCGCTGCCCGCGGTGTCGGCGGGCGGGCGCGGCGGGCGCGGGGCGCTCCGGGCGCTGCGGGGCCGGGCCGGGCCGTGCGGGGCTGGGGCCGCGCCGGGGCCGCCCCCGCCATGTCGGTGAACATGGAGGAGCTGCGGCACCAGGTGATGATCAACCAGTTCGTGCTGGCGGCCGGCTGCGCCGCCGACCAGGCCAAGCAGCTGCTGCAGGCGGCACACTGGCAGTTCGAGGTACGGGGATGGGCCCCCCCCCCCCAACG